TGTGCAATCATCTTGCCATGAAGTGGGGCTGGGGCAGCACAATGGCCAGCCCCACTTCATGGCAAGATGGGACTGACAGGTGTCAGTGCTTCCTGACAGTCCTGGCAGCAGAAGCTCCTTCCAACTGCCACAGCTAGTGTCACCATTGCCACCACACCTGGCTCCACTGTTCAGACATCCCGACCCCAGACCCATGCAGGCAGGGCACCCTTGGCCAGTATGGGGCACAGGCATGCCGGAAGCAACATCTGGGAACACAACGGGTGGGGCTAGGATCTTGGGACAGTGACATGCAGGGCAGAGCCATGATCCACTGTCCACATATACCCAAGATGGGTGCCAGTTGCATAGGCAGGGGCATGCCAGGAGTGGATCTGCCCTGGGCCCTGGCCCAGCTCTGTCACCACCCCAAGATCCCAGCCCCAGGTTCTCCTGCTCTCAGATGCCATTCCCCACCCACAGCTTCCTTCCAAACCACCCAACCGAGCATGCACTCCTTGCAAGGGTCCCAGGCCAGTATCCATGGAGACCCTGGGCCAGGGCCAGGATCACCAGGCAATGAAAGAGCAGGGCCAGGCCCCAGGGCAGTGCCGCTTAGGGAGTTGTGGTGAGCTTTGGTGAATGGAGGGAGCAGCAGTGCTAACTCAGCCAGGCAACAGCTCACCAAAACTCCTTAAGTGGCCCCAGCTCTCCAGCCCAAATAACTGCCCACCCCTGGTCTAGTGTAAGGTAGCAAGGGCTCAGAACAGATCTGTCAGAGGAGGGAAAACTCACCTAAAAGTCTAAACTGGTGGTACCCAAATCATCTAGGACATGCAGGGCAGATCTGTGGGTCCCCCAAGGTCTGGAAATTTGGCAGTGGGGAAGTGATGACAGAATTACAGTGACCCAATCAGAACAGTGAAGGAAACATTTACAGTTAATTTCAGAAGTATAAAGTAGTGTATCAGCTTAGGAAAAGGACATTAGCAAATATAGGCAGATCAATTAAAACCTCTTCTGCAAGTGCAACTGAACTCAAAAATAAAAACAAATGAGATATTCCCCTTGCCACTCCTTGTGAATCTGAACATAGGGTTGTTGGTTGTAGCCATGTTGGCCTAAGGACATAGGGAGACAAGTTTCTTTGGGTAAATGTGGTATGTTTTATTAGACCAATTTAGTTGGTCTAATAAAAATATATCAATCACACTTACTCATAGAGAATATAGAACATAAGATGTTTTATGTAAATCAAAAGGTACATCTGAGTTGAAGTACTGAATGCAGTGTGTGTCAATGAATCCCCTCTATTTGGGGAAATATAAAGAAGTGTGATAAAAATGAATACAGGTAAAGGAAAAGCACGTATGAGAAGATACCAACATTCACCGCTTTAAGATGAATAAGAACAAACATGATTATATTTAAACAGAGTGAACCACCAACAATATTCTTCACTTCAGTGATAAGGTGAATTCAGCAGCCTAGAAAGGATAAAGAGAATTCTACCCATTACATTTAGTACTTTTTGGAAAAAATTTTGGAGTGCATGGGCTAGGCATGCCAAAAACTGAAGGGGAGAGTGGGCGGACACAAAGAAACCACAGGTAAGCACAGAGGGCAAATATGGAAAAGATACGACAGGACCAAAAGATATCAAGTTCAAAAGGCCCATGTTCAAAATGAGAAGTTCAAGGGCAGGGGGGGAACGCCAAGCAGAGAAACCTAGACAGTGCAGACTGTTTCTGGAAGAAGATCAAGTTGCTGACAGATACCACCAGAGAAACCCTAGCATCAGACAACATGAACGAACAACGGAATGTAATTAGGCTGCTTGACAGAGCAGTTCCACCACTCTGATCTATGGACATCCTAACCAGTGCCAAAAATAGATTGGCAAGGTCGCCAGTCCACAAATGGGGTCACAGATACGGTAGGCAAATATGATAAAAGGTGTAGGAAAAATGCAGCCAGAACCTCAACAACAAGTTCGGAAGAAGACAGGAGAAAACAGGCACAGCCTGGTGCAGCAAACGTAAATACATGCCAGGACCTTCCACCCTCTACATCAGTCATTCTCAACCGGGGTGTTTTGACAACCTGGGGCACCTTCAAGTTCCTTTCAAGGGAGCCATGCAGTGTCAGTACCGTTAAGTGTGTAAACATGATTCACAAGATAAACCTAGAGTTTTCAAACAGGAATGAGCAGTGTTAAATATGCTTTGACCTATTATGATCTTTCTGAGTTCTTTGAAATGAAAAAATTCTTCTATTATATCTCTGTAGTGATAAAAGAGCAAAAATTAAGAGCTGGCATTTTCCAAGGGGTGTCTCAAACCTAACAAGGTTGAGAACCAGTGCTCCACATAAATGATCTGCACTAGTAATATGTCTGTGCCCACAGCTCCATGCAAGAGCCATCACCTTATGTTTTCAGCATGCTGTAGAACCAAGGTGAAGAGTGGTCCATGATCCGATTTGGCAAACCCCAGAAACATTGCTGGGCATCCCAAGAAAATACTCCTTTTCCAAAAGCGGTTTTAATACCTGAATCTGCCTCCCACATTTCTGATTCTGCTTAGCCAAGCTGAAGGCAATGCACTTAACTACTCAGTTTTCATTCTTTTGCAATTTGAGAAAGCAGTAGCCATGGCACCAAGAAACATCTGTGGCCACAGGGAAAAAAAATGTTGATGGCACAAATCTCTCTTACTGAATGGGAAAGGCAACCTAGTGGCAGATGATACAGAAAAGACTGAAGTAGTTAATGCCTTTTTTACCTCAGTCTTCACAGGCAAGGTCAGCTCCCGGACTACTGTACTTGGCAGCACAATTTGGGGAGAATGTGAGCAGTAAACAGTGGCGAGAGAACAGGTATGGGCAAGGGTGGCCAAATATGGCCTACAGGCTGCATCCAAACAACAATATGATTTTATCTGGCCCCTTGGTGCCCCCCAGTTCAAGGTTGGGGAGCAGCCCAGGTTATGGCATGTGCAGATAGTCCTGCCAGCCCCAGGCACAGAGGTGCCACCTACCGCAGAGCACAACCTACCCTATCCCCGCGCATGGCTGTCAAACACACCAGGAGCTGTAATCCATGGGGTCAGATGGCACAGCAGCAGGACTAGGCTTCCTGGCAGCCCCCACAATGGCAGCTCCCTCTGGTTGCCACTGCTGGCCAGGCACCCTGGCCAGGCACCCTGGCCCATCTGCCTTACACCCACCACTGGGGGAAGATGAAGCAGAGAAAACATGCACACAGGACATGCTCAGCCAGGTGGATGGGATAGGGCCATGGGAGAACAGGGAGCAGCATCAGGGAGCAGAACAAGCAGGTAGCAGCAGGGCCAAGATTGTGATACGGTGACAGTGCAGGGCTGGGGCCAAGCTGTAATCCACTGTCCTCACATCCATGCAATGGGCACCAGGTCTGCAGGCAAGGGACAGCCGCTACCCACAGAACTGGCACCCGTTGCAGGGATTGTGGCTCTGCCCCAGACCCTGGCCTCACACTGTCACCACCCCATGATCCTGGCCCCTCTCACCTGTCCTGTTCCCCAATTCACCTGCAACCCCATCCCATCCGTCCAGATGAGCACATCCCACCTGTAGGGTCCCGGGCTAGTCTCCATGAAGACCCTGCCCACCCATTCTGTCCAGCATCCCTGACTGTGGGTACAGAGCCAACAGGCCTGGGGCCAGATAGGATCAATTGTCATTTTCCCGCCCTCACCATGCTAGGTAGTGTGACAAGGTGTCAAGACTGGGTTAGCACCCCTTCCCCCCCCCCCCCCCCCCACAAGAGCTCACCAAAACTCTGGGTCAGCACCTGCAGTTCTCACCCCCTTCCCAAAACAGCTGACCAAAAGTCCTTAAGTGGCCTCCCAGCCCAAATAATTGGCCACCCCTAGGTTAGGGGCTACTTAGAAAAGCTAGATAAATGCAAAGGACAAGCAAAAAGTGCTGCTTGTAGGACCGAATAATCCCAAGCACCAGTACAGGCTGGGGGCTGACTGGCTGGGCAACAGAAAAGGACCTTGGGGTTACAGTGGACAACAAGCTGAATATGAGCCAGCAGTGTGCCCTTGCTGCAAAGCAGGCTAATGGCTTACTGGGCTGCATTGGTAGGTGTCTTGCCAGTAGGTCAAGTGACGCGATTCTTCCCCTCTATTCAGCACTGATGAGGCCACACCTGGAGTCCTGTGTTCAGTTTTGGGCCTCCCACTACAGCAAGCTTGTGGACAAATTGGAAAGAGTCCAGCAGAGGGCAACAAAAATGGTGTGGGGGCTGGGGGACATGACTTGAGGAGAGGCTGAGGGAACTGGGTTTATTTAGTCTGGAGAAGAGAAGACAGAGGGGATTTAGTAGCAGCCTTTAATTACCTGAAGGCTGGTTCCAAAGAGAATTGAGTTGGACTGTTCTCAGTGGTGGCAGATGACAGAACAAGGAGCAACGGTCTCAAGTTGCAGTAAGGGAAATTTAGGTTAGATATTAGGAAAAACTCTCTCACTAGGAGGGCAGTAAAACACTGGCACAGGTTACCCACAGAGGTAGCAGACTCTCCATCCTCAGAGGCTTTCAAAACCCAGCTAGACAAAGCCTTGACTGGGATGATCTAGTTGGGGCTGGTCCTGCTCTGAGCAGGGGTTGGACCAGATGTGACCTCCTGACAGTCCTTCCCACCCTCACTTTCTACGATTCGTTTCCTATGTCTGTTTTTCCCCCGCTGTACAACAGGCCACGCTGCGTCCAACCTGCGTCCAACCGACCGGCTCCCACGGGCCACGAGTGCTGGGTCCTGGGACGGCACCGAGAGCTTGTTGCAGCCAAACGGCAACATAAGCTTAAAGAGGGGCCGTGCCGCGATCTTGCTTCTCGCCCGTCGCACACGCCTCCCCCTCGTGGCGCGGGGTCGGTCGGGGGAGGGCGGAGCGAGCAGGGCACGCGCGGGGATGCGCGCTGGGCCCCCTCTGCCAGCTCAGGCCCGCCCCGCCCCGCCCCGGCCCCACGCACGCACCAGCCCATCGATCTGCACTTGCTTAACGGCCGAGTCCCCCGGCGCCGCCTTGCTCTTGACTTTGGCTACCACGGAGCCGGCAACGACCGCTTCTTTGCGAGACGCCATCCTCCTGAGCCGGCCGGAAAGAGAAAAGGGAAGCACCGGAAGCGGGGAGGGGCGGCCGGATGTGACGCCGCCAAATGCAGTCCGGGCGGAAACCTGGGAGCGGTATAAAGAGCGCATGCGCACGGAAGCTTCGGGCTCGTGTGAGCGCCCGCAGCGCATGCGCAAGAGTTGCTGCCTCCTTCCAGCCTGCAGCACGTGGAGGGGAGCTGTGCTGTTGCCCCGTGTAGCGGAGAAGGGCTCCGCTGGGCGGGGTGCGTGGGGTACCTGCGCAGCCAAAGTCAGTTCCTCCAAACTTAGACAGGGGTGTGCTAGGAGGTGACCCACGCATCTCCATCACATCATAGCGCCTGGCCTTCCAACGCCTAACTTTATCCAAACTACATGGTTAATCTAATAAAAGATATGGCCCTAAGACATCTTTGGCTTTCATCACCCTCGTTATATTATTATTGCTGTTGTATCCAGCCTGCTGCATCCAGAAAAGCACAGAGGCTCTTACAGTAACTGACAAGCAACAATAGATGCCCCGCATCTAGGGAACGCCACTCCATGACACCTGCTCCTACTTCCCTGCTCCTGACCCTTCAGAGAAAACCCCCAACCCCATCCCATCCACATTTAGGTATAAGTAGGGTGATTGTAGGTCCCCGATTGAAATCCAGGACTCTCCCTTCCAGAGGCCAAACCTGGCCAGCTGAGCGTCTTGTGTGCAGAGCACAAGCTGGAGCAGTAGAAGCTGTGAAATAGGAAGCCCTAGCAGCAAAATTGCCCGAATGCAGGGGTTCTCAAACTGGGTTGCAACCCCCTGAGGGGTTGAGAGCAACTTAAAAGGGGGTTGGTTGCAAACTTCCCAGGGGTACACGCAGTGGTGCAGGGACATGGTGCACGTTGGCGGTGCGGAGTGCTGGATGGCGGCAGCAGCTGCTGCACACAAGCTCCCCGTCCACTTCTGCCACCATCTGGCACTCAGTGTCACAGTATGACAAAGTTTGAGAACCCCTGCACTAATAAGGTTAGTTTGATTGTGAAATGACCATTAAAAAGGAGGGTGTTAACACCTGTGAAGAAAACAGTGGGTCATTAATGGGTCATTGACTCCTTAGCTGTCTGAATACTAATACCAATGGTGCCCTGCCTCTGCCTGCAGCAGCAGAGAGGCGGAGTGTGGGGGTGCAGTATCCCGGATTTCACACTGTCCCAAATTTCACATTGCCCCATGTGGTCACCCTAGATATAAGAAATCTTCTTCCACTCAAGACGCTCCCAAGCCCATCCATTCCCATTCCCCTGCCTCACACCAAGAGATCTCTCCCTCTCCCCACCCAAGACGTCCCTCCTAAGACTGCGCCCCCTCTTCTGCACAGGGTCTGGCCATTCCAAAAATGTATATGTTCTCTTCCCCCAACAAATACAGTGTTCAAAAGAGCATCGGAAAGATCCTCCATCCTGGCTTTGGTCCTTGCTAAAAGGCAATGCCAAAGGGCACCTAATTGCAACATAAGGAGATGAAAACTTTGCCATTTTGTTTAACATAATGTATACAGTTATTCAACATGATTTAACTTACAGGTGTTTTTAAATGTTGTATAGTTTGCAGTCAAAGGTGTTCTTAATCTGGAATCAAGCATATAAATACCCACAAAGTAAAGACTTCAGAGAAACACTCTCAAGCCAAAAATGCAGGTAGGAAGATAGTTTTCACTACTCACTGATGGATCCGCTGACTGGTGACATCACGTTTTTGCGGGACAGTTATCTCGTTCTCTGCTTGATGTTATGGTAAATTAGGCATATACAGGTATAACTCATAGAAAAATGGGCTGTGAAAATGGGCATAGAAAATTGGGTTGGAAGGGACCTCAGGAGGTCACCTAGTCCAACCTCCTGCTCAAAGCAGGACTATCCCTAACTACATCATTTCAGACAAGGCTTTGTCTACCTGGGTCTCAAAGACCTCTAAGGATGGAAAAGACCTCTAAACCATCCCAGACAAATGTGTGTCTAACCTGCAGCAGCAAGGGGGCGGGTGGGGAGGCATGTGGCTTCACCCCCTCCCCTTCCCCCATGATGCCTGTACCCCCACAGATTCACAGAAGTTTAGGGCTGGTAGGGACTTGATGAGATCATCGGGTCCATCCCCTGCCTTGCTTTGGGCAGGAAAGACTGCTGGGGTCAAATAACCCCAGCAAGATGTGCATCCAAATAACCCCCCTCAGTGCCTGTTGCCCCCTGCCAAAACAGTGAGCACTACTGTCATGGGAGGAAATCAAGTTGATTAGGCATGATTAGTTCTTACGAAACCTATATTGGCTGCTTCCTATCAGCCTGCTATCCCTTAGATCAGTGAGGGCTAGGGGTGCACTGGTAGAGATTTTGGGGGCTGATACCGATGGCTGATTTTTAATGAGCCATATCAGCCAATACTCAGCCCAGCAGCATGGAGAGCAGCATCCTGCTGGTAAGTCTGTTGGGGAAGGAGAGAGGGAAGGGGCGTGGAGGTGGCAGATCAAGGCCCCTGTGGAGTAGGGCTGGGGAATGGGAGGGATGGAGTAGGGCTGGGGATGGTGCTGGGACAGGGACAGGCACTGCATAACCAGGGTGGGGTGCAGGATGGAGCTGCAGGTCATCCATGGGGGACAGAGACGGCTGTTTCTGCTGCTGCACGCACCCCGGGAGGACATGGGGGACATGTGCCTCCCTGGATCTGTGCGCAGGGTGAGGGTGGGCTGTCACTGTGGGCTGGAGCTGGGGCTCTTCCCAGCATGGGGGCTGGGCCAGGCTGTGCTTGGGGTGAGTGGCAGTGGCACTGTGAAAGGAGCTACAGTGAATTTTGGGGTGGCTGTAGCCCCCCTTCCAGTGCTGCCACCGCCCACTCTGAGTGCAACCCCAGCCCAGCCTCCCCAGCCAGGAAGAGCCCGGCGCTGCCTGCAGCCCCAGCCCACAGTGACAGCTCGCCCTTGCCCTGTGCACAGATCCAGGGGGCACATGTCCCCCATGCCCTCCTGGGGTGCATGCAGCAGCAGGAGCCACACACTCCCCAGCTCCATCCCATGCCTTGGCCCATTCTGGCTGGGCAGTGCCTGCCCCAGCCCCACTCCCTCACCACAGAGGCCTTGGTCTGCCCCCCACCACACCCTTTTCTTCCCCCATGCCCCTTCCCCCACAAAAGACTTACCAGCTGGATGCTGCTCTCCACACTGCTGGGCTTGCTGTGGCTGTGCACGTGCATGCAGCATTTATTGGCAACGTTATCATCCACATCAGCCAAGAAAAGTCGATTGCCGATAATGTCAATTTTCCTTTTATCGGGGCCGCTACCATACGAGACTAATATATCGGTGGACCTCTAGTGGGGGCAACCTTTTTGGCAGGCACACCACAAATTAGCTTCACACCCTCCCTAAGTGCCACTCTGATCCTTTCCTCTGCCCAATTTGCTTCTCTGCTTTCTATTCTCTGCTCCCTGTCTGATTTGCTGTACTGTCTTCTACTTCCTCCCCTATCAACTGTTGTGCTGCCTGTCCCCCTCCCCTCCCCATCTGCCATGTGCCACACACACAAGCGGCCAGTGCCATTTGTGGCAGTTATTCTGCAAGTTGGCCACCCCACCCCTGTTCTAGATTATTACAATCAGTTGTTTGATAATATGTTCCAGTATCTTTCCAGGTATCAAAATGAGACTGACTGGTTGCTAATTTTGTGGGTCATCCTTTTTCCCTTTTGTATGAGCTTCATACATGCACTTTTTCAGTCTCCTCTGCAATTACTTCAGCCAATTTCTTGAGTAGTCTAGGATGAATCTCATCAGGCCCTGCTAATTGAAAACATCTCACTTATGTAAATAATCTATAATTTATTCTGTCCCACACTAGGCTGAGTACCTATTCCACTGTTTTAGATGCTGTGTTTGTCATTGGATAGTTGACCTTTTTTTGTGAAGACTGAAGTTAAAAAGGCATTAAACACTTCAGCCTTCTCCATATTATCCATTATTAGCTTCTCCTTCCCATTAAGAGAAACTCACTTTTCTTGATCTCCTTCCTACTTATAATGCATTTAAGGAATGCTTTTTTTTTTTTTTTAATTCTACATCCATTGCTAGCCTTGGCATTTCGGATTTTGCCCCTACATGTTCAGACTCTTATATTCATCTTGTTAGCATGGCCAAAGTTCTCTTTTGTATAAGTCTTCTTTTAAAGCCTCAGCTCTTATTGAAGAACTGACGGTTTGGCTAAGCAGGCTTATTGCTACGCTTCCTGTCCTTCCAGTAGATAGGGAGAGCATGTGTCTTCATTCTCTTAATATTGTCTCTTTAAGGAACAATCAAGTTTCCTCCACTCTTTTTCCCTTAGACTTAGCACCCCTGATCTTGCCAATCAGTTCTCTGGATTTAGTTGGAAGTTTCTTGCTTTTATTCTGCTGTTCTTTTTTCCTCCTCCTCCTTTACAGTCACAGATTTTACCATTTCCTAATCAGTGGTTGTGTCTACATGAGATGCTGACTACGCAGTAGCCCGTGACTACAGTGCAGTAGCATTGTGCGGCAAAAACTGCGACAATGATGCTGTGCAGTAGTTTCGGGCTACTGCACAGTCAGCATCACGAAAAAGCTGTTCATACAAGTGCTAAATGGCTGCACAGTAACAACTGTGCAGTCAGTGTCTCATGTAGATGTGGCCCCTGTCACCTAAATTGCCTTCTACCTTCAGAATCATAACCAATTCCTTTCTAGTAGTAAGCAGCAAATTGAGAAGAGCATTCTCTAATGAAGGGGTCGGCAACCTACAGCCCATGGGCTACATGCAGCTCAAGGAACCATTAGATCCAGCCCACAATTGTGAAGCTTTAGTGGCATTCAGTGGCAGGGAGCTTTGGCACACTGTGCCACCATGTGGAAAAGCAGCATCTGTGTGCCCAAATTCCTGGTTGCCTCAGCCCCAAGCTGGGTTATTCCTTCAACCTAAAAGGTTGTCAACCACTGCCCTAGTGGATTTCTCTACCATCTGTATCAACAAGTTATTTCCATCACAATCTAAGAACTTCCTGGGTTGCCTGTGCCCTGCTGGGTTAGCCTCCCAGCAAAAGGCAAGGTAACAAAAGTTCCTCCTAGCCTCCAGTCTCCATGATTTGGATGCTTCAATTAGTTGTTTTAAAAAAATCATGTCCATTTTGTTCTCATTTGATGGTCAATAGTTGACAAGGACCATGGCATTGCCCTTCCTGTTTCCTCTTTTTATCTTAACCTAATGGCCTTCCTGTTTAACCATGACTTCCACCAGACAAGGCAATGGAGAACCATGCCTTCTGCCTTTACTTATTTGTACCTCATTTTTGTCTGACTAATGAATAATAATGTCCAAATAAACTGTACTGAAATTTTACTTAAATATTCCTACTACTCCTTTCCATATATTGAGTGCAAAAGTACAAAATCAATTTTAATAAGTAATAACATTCCATTGACTGACTTTAGGTATTAGTGCCAAGGCAGTACAGATATTGGAACTTACATGAATATAATTTTGAATCTCAGAGACATTGGTGCCTATGCTGGATTCCATTCCTCCCAAAATTTCTTCCACTTTCCTTGAAGAGCATCAAAGCGATGAAATTATCTTTATTGGATTTTTTTTTTCTTAGAAATGAGAAAAGAAAAATAATAAGGTGCATCAGGGAGAAAACAATTGCTAAGGTGGGAGCTGCAACAACACAAGAATGCCCTAGAGACAAATATCAAATGCAATAAAGAAACTACAGGACCAAAATGTAAGCTTTAAAATACAATTTCTCTTTTGAAATAGTACAGGGGTTTCAGAGGCCAAGCCTGCTTTCAGATGTGTTTTGGATCTGGCAGCTTTTTAACATTCATTTGACTAAATATGAAAGTGGCACAGTAAAAAATAATAGAGTGTTTAATGGTGGACAGTAGCATAATAAAGTATTTGTGCACATGAGGAAAATGCTTTAATAAAACAGGTTTTTTCTTCACTGGGAAAAAAAACAGATTGCTTTCACTGCTCAGCTCTATTCTTTCTCTACAACTTTCAATAACTCTTTTCTTCAATCATCTTCTATCTTTGTCTACTCTTTAAATTCAAGGCATTCAAGTTATATTTTTCACGTTAATGGTTCATTTTCTTTGACAACACAAACTCTGCAGCATGTAATCCAGGGGTTGAAACTAAAGGTACGGTATTAGCAGTAAAATCACCTGATCCAGAATGTAGTAGATGGGAAAAAATGACTTTTAAAGTATTAATTTTGCTTGTAAAATGAATGGGAGAGATATTTGTACAAATCCACTGTAGGAGGTTTCGTGGACCTTACTGCATTGTCTGACAAGTTACAGAGTTATTCCAGGCATGGTGCGGTAATGATTAGAATAGACTAGAGATAAAATTCACCACTCCAATCTACCGAGCAGTGGGGAATTCATCACTCTGATCCTACTAAACATGTAGATTTCTCACTAAAAGTCAATGAGAGTGTAATAAGACTCCTTTAGTCCCCAGTACAAGGAAGAGGAAGGGCCCTTTAAGAAGAATATCCCTTGGAATGATATAAGGGAAGGGCCCCAGCAGTAGAGAACAGAGCTCCTGGGAGGCAGTAACATAGGAAAGTAGTCAGAATGGGTAACATTATGTTGAAGGACTTTGCAGCTGTAAGGGACCTTGCAGCAGGGGATCCTGAGAGTTCACAGCTGTGAGAGGTGCTACAGCCTACGAGCCAGGCCTCTTGCCCCCAAGACCCTGACACTGACAGAAAAACAAGGTGTAGCAAGTGTGTAAAGTGGGGGATCTGAGTGAGAGGGTGGACCTTCTTCTAGAGAAGTGGCGTGCAGTCATAGGGAGCATGAAAAGAGCAGGGAAACATAACTGAAACCCACAACAGGTCAGAGTGTTTTTGGCACTATCTGAAATCTTTGGTTTTATCTTGTGAATCATGCAGTTTGCACATCTATCAATTCTAACATTGTGCAGCACACCGCAGCACCCTTAACATGATCCTGCAGCACCCAAGGGCTCTATAGCACTCTGGTTGTGAATCACTGGCGTAGCATCTCCAAACAAGATCACTGCCCATTCGACAAGGCACAAGACAAACACGTACTACGAGAGAGTCCTAGCACAGAAAAAGCTTCCACACTACCAGTAAATAGAAAGAACAACAGACGGAGAAGGGAAACAGGAAGATATGTGAAGTAACTTACTGAATCTATATCAGATGCATCCAGTCAGCAGTATAGTCAGGAATTGGATGTCCTGCATACCAGTCTGAAATCCTTTCTACTAAATCAATCTTCTTCTCTAACAGTAATCATTTTACCAAAGATTATAAATCACTGATAAGACAATGCATTACATTTATTAGTAACAGAGTAGGACCCTGATCCAAAAAATATGACTACTTTTGTTTATAGTTAAGCCTGTTCTTAAAGTGCTTTTTTCTGGACTGTGACTTGGGTGATAGGTTTACCCATTCATCAGATTTTATTTGTATTTGAACTGTAGAATATTCTCTTTCTCAATTTTAACTGTGTCTAGAATCATAGGAATTGTTTTTCAGACCAAACTAGTCTCCCATAAAAATGCCACCCATGCATTTTTGCTTCCTATGCATGGAAAACTTTTGCCAAGTCCATTAACAAATCCACTCCCCTTAACACCTTCAGCTTTCTTGTTAAGATCGACTTCTATCATGATACCCATGGAAAGCTGCCTAATTATAATGTCTAAGCAGGTGGCCAGTTAGTGTTTCATTAAAATCTATTAAAAAAAGCAAAACACCATGAAGCATCCCCTTGGTGCACACTGCCAGTCTACAGATTTCTCAATTTAAAAAAAGTTAAAATAAATAAGAAAGAAACTTTTCCCTAAACCCTCTGCCAATATTTGTGATTTTACAATTATATTGTCCTATCCTATGTTATTATTATTACCGTTATTTTCTGCTATGTGAAATGTGTTTGGGAACAGTTGAAAGAACTAACTCACCACATTTAGAAGAAAAGCAGTGAATCTGATTACAAAGTACTGCCAGTGACAAAAAATAACCAAACTGTGAAAAAAAAGAAAGATTTTATTTTCTCCAATTTCTGTTAGTATGATGTTAGTTTTAATAACAGCAGGTAAAAAATTGAGGCAGAAGTGTAGTTGCAGAATTGACAGCATCCTTTTAACTGAAGATTACTAAATAATTTATGTTGTTCTCTGAAATGAAAATAGCAGCTATGATAAGCAAGGCCTTTGCCAATTCCAGACTTGTCTTCTCAATATGCTGCACTCCTACTTATCATAAAGACTGCAGAAAAGCTGCAGTTGCTTTGTGAGTTTGCTGCCTAACACCTAATAGGGCTAAACTCAAAGAGCACTGGCTTCAGTTCAGATTCAATTCAAGATGATTGTGCTGATCCTGCTTGGATCAAATTCTCTCATTTGCATACCTTCCCTCTCCCCTGCTTCCTAACTAGTGTAATTATTGAGGACTCTGCTTATTAGCTGATGGTTCCCAGGATGAGATCTGTGGAATTAAAGGGCTGAGTATTCTTGAGAGGGAATACTGCCTATCCTGGCCATACTTTGGAGGGAAGTATACATTTGGAGAAAAAGAAGCATTTATTTGGTTAGGGTTGTTATTCTTTTTAAATGGTAGAATATGAAATTGGTCACTGGTCTAGGTTGTCAGATAACAACAACAACAACAGGTGAGAAACTAGGTAGCAGGACATGTTTAAAAGTACACCCTGCATGCAATACCTCACTTGGGTGTACAATTTACTATCTGACTGTCACTAGTACAGTAAAACTTAAGATACTTTGTAAGGTTAGGTTCCTAATCCCCCCAGAAGGATGAGGGACTGTGACTTATCTGGGGATTTGCAGAACCATGGTAAACAGCTCCAGGACAGTCCTCCAGATGTTTGCTGCAGCTTTTATTTCAAAATGCACTGTGGCTCCAATCAGTTATCCATGATGGAGACAGGTTTCCTACTACCTCTGTAGTCAAAGCCTGAAACAAAATCTGCAGTCAAAGCTGTGTGTCCCTGATTATCCTTCAGCCAGCAGGAAGACCACCCTTTGAGCTGCCTACCATCTATACAGATGCCCAGTTATGTTACTAAATGGCTGCTGTGCACTGGTGTCCACCAAGGGATCCTTAAGTGTCATCCTCTTAACCTTTCTTAGTAAGAGCTGTCTCCCACTATGAGCCTGAAACAAAATCAGTGTCATAGCAAAAAAAGGTGCACAAGAACTTTGATTATAAAACAATCTTTTCTTATTGACTTGACTGAAATTAATGCATGTCATACTGAAAGAACACCTGTATGCTATTCCAGCCAGTAGTGGATGCCCAGGCAGCTCCTGCTCTGCATGGCGTTACTGGGTTTGACGGGGGAAAAGGCGGAGCGAAGTTTGGCACCACTTCAGCCCTCAGTGCGGATGCCCATTTGGCCCTCACTATGCCTTACAGCTATTATGCAGTTAAGCGTTTAGTATTATTCACAATGATTGTGATTGGTGCAATAAACCTAGACTGCATTAAGGCACCATCACGCCATAAAAGTGACTGCCCAGCTACAAAAACAGAGCCGACCAGCTGTAGTTAGTGCTTGAAGACATGCAACCACTACGCGGCTGGTTCCAGCCCAGCGCCGCGAGAAGGGGCAAGGGCAGGGTGCGCCCCGCCCCCCGCACGATTGGCTGTCAGCAGGAGAGCATTGTGACGTAGAACCCGCAACGCTGTCGGGGGGGTGACGGAGAGAGCGCGCTTCGACTCCTGCTCTCAGCGCATGCGCGCCAACGGGCTGACCCCGCCCCCACCCTCAAGCCCCGCCCTTTCGCCGAGTCTGTGCTGTTGCGCATGCGGGAGGACGCCAGGGGCCGCGTTCTCCTTCCGGGCAAGCGGCGGTTTTGCTTCCGGGTGAGGCCGGCCCCGCGCCGCTGCCATGAAGATCACGCGGCAGAAGCACGCCAAGAAGCACGTGGGCTTCTACAAGTACAACTTCCAGGTCCGGGAGCCCTTCCAGGTGCTGCTGGACGGCACCTTCTGCCAGGCCGCGCTGCGCAACAAGATCCAGATCCGCGAGCAGCTGCCCGGCTACCTGGGCGGCGCCACGCAGCTTTGCACCACGCGGTGAGCGCGGCGGGGCGGGGCGCTCCCGGGGGAGGGGCCGAGGGAAGCTCCGCCCCCACACGTCATCGCTGCCCTATCTGCAGGGGGCGCTGAGGACCCCCACTCCCGTCCTGCTGGTGCCTCTCCCCACCGGCCCTGCCGCAGCCTTGGCACCCGGCCACCTTCCCCCACCCTCCTCCCACCCTTGCAGTCCCCAAGTGCCGGCCCTCCAACCCCTGCTCCCCATACTTACCTTCGTCAGGCTGCCTGGGCTGTTCCCACGACCCTGCCTGGCTGCCTGCTGGCCGCCCCAAGCAGCCCCTCAGGGCCTGCACGGGGAAACCTGCGCGTTTCTGGCACTTGCTCGCAACCCTTTCAAATATTCTTGCCACCCGCTTTTGGGTCGCGACCCACAAGTTGAGAAACGCTGATGTGGAGGGTCGGGCGGAGAGCAAGGTCGGGATGTTGCTGGATCTGGGATCCGAGGAGTCCATCAGTCAGTAGCAGACAAGCCAAGGATGCAGCAGCCTACGTACAAGGTTGAGCCTTGTTACTCAGCTGCTTCTTCCAGGTCAGGGATGTACGTAGGGCAGGGTAGCCAGTGAGGGGTCTGCTGAGCGGGCAGGTGGCTGGGCCCCGCTGTCGGGTTCGGGCCCCCTGTGTCCACCTCAGTGCTCAGCTAAGGAGGTGGCAGACTGGGTCGAGGGGCTGTGCCGTGCAGGCTGAAGCCCCAGGTTCAAGGTCACAGCCTGACACTGATGTGCCGTCCTGCAATAGCTGAAGCTCTGAAGACCAAATCTACTCCAAAGGTCATTTCGTTCTAAGCATGTTGTGATGGTTCAGGCTGGTGACTACCCATTTTTCACAGTTTCTTAGGGTGAAAAGTTTAGTCTCGTCTTTCATATTTTGGGCCTGACTTCTGGCCCTTCTCATTCATGGCAACAGCAAATGGAAAGTACTAGTAATGACTGGCTGGTGTGCAGAGACACTGCTGCTGTCAGGAGCCATCTAGGTAAATAGCTGTAGTGTCTTGAGGCACTTAGTGCTCTACCAAACAAGCAGCACAGATCTGCAGAAAGTGTAGAAGAGTGGCTCCATTTGTACTGCAGTCAAATGTATGATGGGCCTGGTTACAGCAGCACCCCCCTGATGTTGAAAGCACAGCTGAAATCCAACTAGGCTTCCCAGATGTTCTGAATCAGGGGTGTTAAACTCATCCTGTGGGCTGGATCAGTGTCCCTGAGCTGGGCTGTGGGCCACACCAAGACCAAACCCCTGTGGAGCGGGCATGGTGCTGCGTCCAGCCCATGTCCCATATGTGCCAGTTCCCAGGGCACAGCAGGCAGAACAGGGGGGGTCGGTCTGGGACACTATATGCAGCCTGCAACCCAGACACCCTCGACTGCATGCAGTGCCCAGTTCAGCCTGCCTGCCACAGGCAGTGCCCACTTGGTGCAGCACCCCCACTGACCAGCCCTGCAAGGTGGCTCTGGGTTTGGCATAGTGCTGCATGGAGTGCATATCCTGTGCTAGCCCTCTGTACAGCATGCAGCATACACGGTGAGTCAAGCCCCACACAGCATGTGCCAGCCTTGGAGCTCAGTGCATGCGTAGGGCCTGAACTGGCACTGCACTCAGCACAGGAGGCCCAGGCTGCAGGGTCCAGCCTGTGGCAGAAATGCCCCGTGGGTGCCCTTCTCCAGAGATCTGTCTCGGCCAGCCTGAGAGGCTGCTGTTGAATCTCTCACAGCGGGGATCTCGCTCCTTGTCTGCAGACAAAAGCCTGGCGCCTGGGAGGCGATGCTCTGGTCACCTGGGCAAGGGGGGGGAAAGACCCGGCCCTGCGCGCGGGCCCAGGTAGCCAGGGATGCTTTGCAGATTGGACGGTTTGTAGCCAGTATTGGCAGCTTTGGTTGGACTGGGCTGCTGAGGTCAGAGAGGTTATAAAAAGGCCTGGGCCAGGAAGAAGGCGGCCATTAGCCATGCGGTCATCCAGCTACTCGAGATCCGATTAGATATTTAGCTTCAGTAACTCAGATGCGTGTTGAAACGGCTACCTCAGCCACCCTGGTTTGCTCTATGGGATTCCTTTGATATTCCTGTAATATTTCTATGATATTGCTCTACCTTTACCCTATTTCCGCCCTACCCCTGTAATCAATAAAGTTCTCCTTTGAAACCGGTGTGGGAGACTTATTGAGGGGTGGGTCTAAATTATGCCAAGGAGGCCCCTTAGGTCGGTGGACTAAGGGAGGCTTCCTAATAAGCCCCTGACTTGGGAAAGTGCCCCAAGTGCTTGTATTGGGGCTAGTACCCATTGGACGATCAGGCCTATGTTCTCCAAGGTGCGCAGAGCCAGAAGTGAGTCCAGAGCCTTGGATGGTGGCAGCGGGAACCCCAGGCTAGCGGGTGTGCTCCGGGGAAGGGGTCGGCCGGACGGGAGGCACCCCAGGGAGGCACTCGGAGCCTGGAAGGTGGTCGGGCGCAGGGAGGTGGGCGGCTCAACGCAGGAGCGCCCCCTACTGGCCCGCCACACAGCCCACACACGATATGCTGTACACGGAGCTGGGTCAGCACACGGGGTCCGGCCAGAGCCCTGCAGTCCAGATCAAACGGCTCCACAGGCTGGATCTGACCTACGGGCTGTATGTTTGACACTCCTTTTCTAAATTCTTCTGAGTTCATAAGCTTGCTCCTTTGAGTCCTTGAGGAAAATAGTGCTGTCTTGCTTTGGAAAATAGAACCTGAACTGTAGCAGAGGATTCATGTTGTAAACATATTCCTCTGTCATGTTCAATCTTGGTCCTGATTATTTCATAGGTGCTTCCAAAGCAGAGTCTCTTGAAATTTGTCCAGCTGAGGGACAAATATTACTGTGACATCATAAAGAGCTCAAGCTCCATTGCTTTTACTTCTGTGCAAAATGTGGAGCTGAGGTGCAAGTGCAGGAACTTGGGTGATTTTCAAAAACAAATAGAGCTGCTTTGTGGAAGAAGAAAATATTGCACAAAGGGGGACTCTGTTTCGATTGCTGCTGCCTTTCCTAACCCATCTTTGCTTTCAATCTTGAGCAGCTGCTTCAAAAAATAATCCTTTACTTTGAGAGCAGATTGAACTGCAGACACAAAAAACTAATACCAGTTCTGATGCATGTTTGTGCTAACCTTTACACTTGCTTCACAGGAAAAAAATAGCAATGGGCACATCTACATGAGAAGTTTACTGCAGAGCTGCCTAATTAGCTCCACAGTAGACATCGCGCATCTACACATGTGGCTGTGTTAGGCCACAGGAAACTAATTAACTCTGCAGCAGGATAGTACTTGTAAATGGAAGTACTATCCTACTGTAGAGTTATTTACTGCACAGCAAAACATGTGTAAATGCTGACTCTGGCATAAATTGCACCTGGTCAGCCCAGCCAGCAGGGAGCCACACTACCGCTTGCTGCCTAGCCACATGGCTCGGCAGCTACAGGAGCCTCGTGGCTCAGCCAGCTTCTTCACCACCCAACACAGCTGTCTGTTGCCCAGGCCTTCTTGCCCTTGGCCCTGCCAGCCTGGGGCTGCCCCCAGATTCCAGGCCACAGTACCAATGTCAGCTGGAGCCTGGGGCTGACCCTTGTACCCTCTGCCAGCCTGGGACTGGCACCTGGGCAGCTATGGGTGGAACCTGGAGCTCCTTCTGGCTGCTGCAGGGTGGGTAGAGCATGGCAGGAGCAGCCCTGGCCTCCACTGCTCCTCCCTGGCTCAGTTTGCTGCTGTTCCAGGCATTTGTGTAGATGCTGCATCTGGGTGTAGTTTACTGCAGCACAAATTGCTCCACAGTTTATTCAGTCACAGTAATAGCATGTGTAGATATGTCCAGTGAAAAGTCAAGTAGTGCAGGCCAGCCCCAGTCTTAGTAACATACCCGGTGCATCTACACGTGCATTTGATCCGGGATCAGTTTACTCATGAGTAAACGCTTCCAAGCAAGCATCTACACGTGCAGAGAAGCGGGAACAGCTTTGCTGCTAATGGCAGCAAACGGCTCCCACTTCCTGGGGCCCTGCAATGGGCCCCTGCTTCCACTCGGGGGAGCTCCGGGCTCCCCGTGGGCGATAGTCCAGGGGCTGGCAGGGAGCACTGGGCCAGGAGATGGCTGTCTCCCGGCCGGTGCCTGGGACATTACACATGGCCCCAGGGGGCTGCTTGCTGCTGGGGTGGAGACAATGTCCCCCTGCCCCATGAGTAGGAAGCTCCTGGCACCGGCTCCCTGGATCAGAGCCAGGGGACTTGAGAAGAGCTGCAGAGGAGAGGCAGGTTTTAGCCCCCTGCCCCATCTGCTGGTAGGGCTTGCTGCTGGCTGCCTCTTCCACCCCTGCAGCTCTTTCCAAGGCCTGTGCTTTGATCAGGGCTCGGGGCTAGAACCTGCCTTTGACCAGGATAGTTCCCAGCCCCTGCTCCACATACAGGACCGAAGCTGGAGAACCTGTTCCCCATTCAGCGACATGAGTGCTGAGCAGGCTGGGAGCTTGTTCCCCACTCAGTTCTGCAAGTATGTAGATGGGCAGGGAATAGGCTCCCCAGCCTCTGCCTGCAGGCAGCTTCCAGCACCAGGTTTGTGGTTGTGGGGCCAGCCCTGGGAGACCCTGATCTCCCAGCTACCCCATCGCAATGGCGGAGTGTGGGGCTTGGAGCTCCCTGCTGCTGGGACAAGGGGACATAGTCCCCACCCAGGCTTCAGTTGTGGAACCTGCCCCAGGAAGCAATCTCCTGCCCCCTGGTGGACGGCTGACCAGAAGCAGACTGGATTCCGGTCAGGCATCTACACAAGTGCTACTGCACTGTTACTATTCGAAAGTAAATTTGCTACTTGCATTTGCAGGTAGCAAATTTACTTGTAATTAGCAAGGGTTACTGTGTAGTAAGCATGTGCACATGTAGATGCACATGCTTACTGCGCAGTAAACTAAGCTACTGTGCAGTTAAGCATTAGTCTTGAATATTTCATGCCTTCATCTCCTGGATGTTTTTCATCATTCTTGGAAAAACACTTCCTAATAAGTGATTTGGTTTACATTTTTGATAGATTCTTTCATGTAGTCTTACAAGTCTATAACATTGAAATCTACTGATTCTTCAACGTGGGTATCGCTTCTTTTATTAATCATATCCTCTGGGAAGATTTTGCTCTTCATTTTTTTTTTTTTTTTTTTTTTTTTTTAACAAAAATATTTTCTGTATGTTACCTACTGGTTCCTGTTTTGTCAATTAATATATTTTTATTAACCTTTTTTTCCAGTCTTGTTGCGTAATTTCTAAATCATTCCATTACATGGCACAGTTGCAATCCTTTTTAATCTTCTGGTTGGGTACTTTGTGAATTTTTAGGGTGCAAGATAAAACTAAAGGACTTCCCTAATAGTATAATTGAGTGGGTTGTCACCGGAACATTGGTTTAGCAGGAGTGTAAGAATGATTCAGGTGGCATTTTTCTTCAAAGAGGTTAATTAATCTCTTCATGTATATCCATGTCAATATGTGTGGTGTCTGAATTGGAAGACTCTAAAGCTGTCCTAAATCCTACTGGGTTATCCTGTTTTACAATGCCATGAAATTTGTTCACCAAAAGACCCCTTTAGTATGTAAATCTCTGAGAACTTTGCTGTTTAGCACCTGCTATTTTAAATTTCACAGGCACTGTTGGGTATAACACTCTCTGAGACAGAACCACTAAAATGCAAATGAATTGCACATCAGCTGTTGTAATTCCTGCTGTGTTTTTTCTTTCACATAATTCAAATATGGAATCCCAGCATGTTAGTAGTCGCATATATTCAGTCCTAAATTAACACTACATACAGGTATTATTATTATGCATTTACACTGGTTGCTTTATTTGTGGGGGAGGTTTATTTGATTGTGTCGTTTTTTTATACTAGTCTGTGTGGTAGGTGAAGTCTGTGAACTTTAGGAGTGGCAGGGGGTTAGATCAAATGATCCTGGAGGTGTTTGTCATCCCCATGATTATAGAAAGCCTTTTACTCGAACAGGTTACAGCAGGGGCGGGCAGTTATTTTGGGCAGAGGGCTGCTAACTGAGTTTTGGCAAGCCATCGAGAGCTGCATGATGGGCAGCCCGGGGCAGATAAAAAATTTAGAAAAGTAGTATTTAGGAGCCCTGTCAGCCAGATAGAATGGCTCAGCGGGCTGCATCCGGCCCCCGAGCCGCATTTTGCCCACCCCGGGTTACAGTAAAGAAGTTGGATTTTCTTTATAATAGCTGTAATTACACTGGCAAAGGTTTTTTTTTCACTTAATTGCAAGTCTTACTGAAGTAGTCTCAAAGATTTGGAATTGCCATTGAATTGTCCCAGGTTACTTAATATTTCAAATGTTGTTATTAGTCTCATTTAGAAATTTTGTTGAAATGCTAAGAAAAGCTATACTTCAACTCATTTTTGTGCTCTGTAAAATGGACATAGTCTGGGCAGGCAGTGTTTATCTCTAATCAAACATGCTTAATTCAATATTTGAAACCTCTTTGCAGTTGTATAGAGCATTTATTTTAATATGAGGAATAAAATTAGGGATTTTTCCCTTTATAAATTTGTCTCATTTTTGCTATTTTTAGATGCGTTCTAAAAGAATTAGAATCACTGGGGAAGGAACTATATGGAGCAAAATTAATTGCCCAACGATTTCAGGTTCGACACTGTTCTCACTTCAAAGATCCAGTAAGTGGTTCGGCATGTCTTCTATCCATGATTCAGGATGGCAATCCACATCACTATTTTATTGCTACACAGGTAAATACTCCTAGGAAACCTAACTTAATTTTATTTTTAAATGGTTGGGTTTTTTAAATTCATAATAAACACAAGATTTGAATGACTTGTTGGAATTAAATTTATAAGATCTGCATGTCTGCAACATGTGACGACTGTCAGATTACAAAGTGGCGAAATGTCAGTTTGAAAGAGAATTACAGCCTTAAAAGTATCACTGAATAGGATTTCCTGCATGATGAATGGGAACAAAAATATTGTAAACGTCCTCACTCTGAACATTCATCACAAGCTGCTTGTACTTGTTTACCATGCTGCAATTTCAATTAAAATGCTACACTGGAAATTTAGAATAAACTTTTTAGTTGAACTTTTCAATCAGAAAGTGAATTCAGAGTTACTGCGATTTTTTTTTTTTTTTTTTTTGTGCAGACTTCAATCTCTTGAATATTTTGCACTGCTTGAAAATAAAAAGGGTTTCACTATAATTTTTATGGGCATCTTCCATGATGACATTTGACACTTTTGTAGATTTAATTTATTTCCCTCTCCTCTCCTTCCCCACATGTACAAAAAGAGGAAGTATATTTCTTTTGCCTTAGGGGTAATACAGAAGATGGGCATGCAGAAATTGGTTCATCAGAGACAGGCCGCCATCTTTCAGATTTACTAGCTACTAACTTAATAGACATCTTTTATAAAATTCAGCTCTTTGAATAATATTTGCCATTGTAGTGCAATCATTTCTAAAAGAAAAGTTAATCACAAATTGTTGACTGTGCCTTTTGATTTGACAGGACCAAGATTTGGCAAAAAAAGTGAAGAAAAAACCTGGAGTTCCTCTGCTCTTTATTATTCAGAACACTATAGTACTTGACAAACCGTCTCCAAAATCTCTGGCATTTGTTCAAGCAGTGCAAGCAAATCAGCTTGTTCCAGAGCACCAGAAACAAAGTCTTAAACAACTCAAAGAGAAAGAGGGACTAGGAAAGGAAGAAAAGGAAAAAAGAAAACGTAAAAGGGTGGGTGGTCCCAATCCCCTCAGCTGCCTGAAGAAGAAGAAAAAAGTGCAAGAGACTAAGCAGCCTCCTGCTGCAAAGAAGAAACGAAAAAGAAAACGAAGCCGGGCTAAACCGCAGCCAGTGCAGCAGTGCACAGAAGCATAAAGCTGTCCTTATAAACCGTGCAGGACTTCAGTGTTGCTTGAATTTTTGTAAAGATTCTTTTTGCACAAAAATAATATGAAAATAACTGTGTGTTTGTACTGAACCATATTTTTATGAAAAAGTAATACCCTTCCTTGGGAAACAAACACTGTGAGGACATGTGCTGTGTTGTTTTCTGTACCTCTTAACTTGTTCGTTCATGCCATGAGAAAAAAGACTAATAATATGAAATCCAGTGCGATTTTCCCATCGCAAAGTATGAAGTCAGAGTTAAATTTCTTGCATTTATAAGTGCAATTGTATGTTTCAGAACAGGCTGGATCCAAGTTGACCCTTCAGGTGTCTCCAGTTGGGCTTGCCATGTCTTGAAAGGGTTGATCCTAATTGAAAGGGTTAAGTCTCTAGATATTCCTACTCACTGGCCATGTCCACATGAGATGCTTACTGCTCAGTAGCATCACATGGCAGAAACCACATGAAGCGACGCTACTGAGCAGCAGTCTTGGGCTATTACACAGTCAGCATCACAAGGCCGTTTGTCGGCGCTGCTGCGCAGTAACTTGGGTTACTGCACAGTCATTTAGTACTGGTTTATACAAGTACTAAATGACTGCGCAATAACAACTAAACAGTCAGCGTCTTTTGTATATCAAACCACTGTATAGGAATCCCAGGTGCCTCCCAAGAGCAATCTAGTAACTGCCTAGATGCTGAGCAGGGAGGCATGTTGAATAAGCCCCGGGCTGTCCAACTGGCAGCCTCTGGGCTGTATATGGCCTTGTAACAGGGAGCCCTAGCCCTGTTACTAGAAGATGGGTCTACTCCTTTAAGGCCAGAACTTTCTGGGCAGGGAATGCTGGTAAGGAGGGGGTTAAATACTGAGCCTGGCCAGCTAGTCAGCTGACCGGAAGGGGCAGGCCAGGACTATAAAAACCCTGGGGAGAGCAACAGTAAGGGCTGGTAGCCAAAGGGGAAGGAGTGCATCCCGGAGCTCCATGAGAGGCCTGGTGAGTGGTCCAAAGGCTGGAAGAGGGGACTGTGGCAACCCTGAGAGACAGCAGCTGCCCCAGAAGCTGATGGTGGGGAGCTGAAGCACAAATCCGGCATAAAATGTAAGCTGGTATGCGGCTTTCTTTGATCACATTTTTTTTTTTGTGGCTGTTATTGCCTATGGATGGGACTGTCCTTATTTCTTTTGGTTATTTAATACGTGGTGGTTTGGGGGAGGCTATTAGGGGAAGAAGGAGGCCTCATTTTGGGGCACAGACCCTGGTGCCAGCGAGGGCATGGCTTTTGGGGGTACATAAACCCCAGTGCCAGTGGGGGTGCAGGATTTCTGAGGTGCACTGATCCTGTTGCCTGAAGGTGCAATCTTAAAAGGCCAGGGAGGTCTGGTGCACCTGTGGTACAACTTAATTTTGTGGGGTTTTTTGTGGGACTAAGCAAGCCCATCCTCTGGCCTTGAACTTGTGCCACCCCAGCTGTGGCTCTGGTGGCTAGATTTCTGGGCCAGGCTCCACACTGGAGCAGGAAAGATGCTTAGTGCCTCGGAGTCAAACCCTGTTTGGTGGGTTTAGACGGGGAGGCCTAGCTAGAGAGAGACTGGGGTCAAGGCCTGTGGAGGCGGAAGACCCCAACATACGAAATACAATAGGCAGTCTCCTGCTTTCAAGAACATCAATAATAATTTCTATCAAGACATGGCAGGTGAGTAACACCAGAAACCTTAAGGGGGACTCCAACGGTGTCCCACATAGGGCATGGATGACAGGGAAGATGGTGTTGGGGAAAGCAACCTGTTACAGACTTTCAAGCCCCTGCAGCTGCTTCTTCCAAAACCACATGGTAGAGGAGGACCTGGGTATGGGGGAGCACAGGGTTGTCCTAACTTGCTACCTTGGAGCCTTGGTTTCTATCACAGAGCAGCACATTAGGTGTTTTATCATTTTTAGACCAGCAGTCTTCAAAGCACCTGACAACAACATTGAGCTTGAGAGGGAGCACAGCACCCCTTGTTCACTTTTGAACTTGGAGACTTGAACTCCTTTTGCTCCAATGCCTGATTATTACAGCACTAACTCAGGAAGTGGGAGGCCTGGGTTATAGTCCCTCCTTCCCACCACCTCTCCCACTCCCCAGCTCATGGGATCAGACCCATATTTCACGCTCTTGTAGTTTGCCCTGAGCATCAGTGTTCAGGGGAAGAGGGAGGAAGGAAAGAGCCTCTACTCTTCCGTTGACCTTGGCCCACTGGAGAAGCAAGTTTCATGGGACTAGAATGAGAGCAGGCAAGAGGAAGGGGAACTCTGTAGCCTGTTGGTTCTTGTACTCTTGGGAGTAGTGAGTCCTGCTGCTAGGAATCTTACAAATTTTATTTTAACCCAATGGATATTCAATGTAAAATGCGTAAGCACCCCTGGGAGCAAGTGAGTGGCAGCATGTGTCTGTACCCCAGTTAGGAAAGGAGTTTGTATGTTTGGTCCCTGCTGCCATGGTTGTTAATGCATTTTACACTGGAAAGCCATAGGTTTAGCAAGACAAGTTTCTTTGGGTAAATCTGATATCTTTTATTAGACCAACTCAAATAGTTGGAAAAATTCTTCTTTGCAAGCTTTTGGGTATAAATACCCTTCGTTAGGCTGAGGAAGCATCTGCACTTGGTGTGTGCTCTTTCTGGATGGAATGAATAGTAAAGAAACCAGAGGCTGGTCTGCATGCAAGAGATCCAGGCAGTGCAGATGGAAATTGAGTCAGTGAGTGAGAGACACATCGGTGGGGTGGGGAGGGGGGCAGTGAATATAGCTGGTAAATAGTAGAGAGGTACCTGGGAAGTCAGATGTTAGGCAGGTTATAATGTGTCATAAATTCAATGTCTGTAGTTGGTTTATATTTAGTCCATGATTTTTTGTACCCAGGAGGTTTAGCAAACACACCAGAATCCAGGCCTTCCTGATCCCAGATCAATGCTCTCCTCCGCTGCAATATTAGAGACCATCTCTGCCATCTGTGAAAAAGGCACAATATTGCAGTTCCAAACAGCAATGCATTCTGCCTTTGAAAGCAACTCCTGTTTGAGATGACCTCGAGCACCTGGTTTGCTCAACAAGCCAGACAGCTTGTTAGAGCATTTGCTGTTGCCATTTTCATGCCAAATTAAAATGGGAAAGAGGACTATCTTAAGAGATTTACACCCTGTCTCCAAGTAAAGCAGCACGGGGGCCCAAGCACGTCACCATTTAATTCGAGTCAAATTGTTTGAAAGGAGGACTATCTAACTGGTGGCCTGTGGGCCGCATGCTGCTAGGGGTTAATCTGCAGAGCCCAGGCTTCCCCTGGCTCCTGCTTCCCTGATTGCTCTGGCTCCAGGGTCTCTAGGATCCCTCTTCTCTGGCTTTCACTTCTTGCCCCTGTCCCAGGGGGTGGCACAGAGCAGGGTGGAGTGGCTCAGCACAGCCTGCAGTGGCAGGGGAGCTGCAGCTGCAGATTGGGAGTAGGGGGTTCCAGCCTGTACGGTGCAGCAGTGCAGGGAGGAGCTGCCCCCTCATGTGCCAGAGGAACTTGCAGCCAGGAAAGTGAGGGGAGGGCATAGCCCCCACACTACATGGTCCTTGCAGTTTACAGCCCCCAGCTGTTAAGTTGGAAAGCCCTGTTTTAAAGCATTGACTGTCCAAGGCTATGACATGATGTCCCATCGTGTGTAAAGCTATTGTAAAGGGTTTAGCAGACTTGGTCATGCCTTCAGGGTAGATAGGACCCTAACAGCAACTTTGAATAAAGATGATAATTCTGGGACACAGAATGGTTTTTATAAGAACAGAAAACCAAGGCAGTAAAACAGGAACTGCAGAGGAAAGGTTCGGAGGGGTCCTGTTGTCTCAAAATAAATGTATAGATCCCTTTTTTCCGCAGGTACCTTGATAAATATTAAAGAACAAAAATGAGTAACCATACTTTTAGGCTATCATACATTATGTCTTGTACAAATATCAGGAGAATAAAACAGTAGGACAACAGCCATGGTCTACACAGTGTTAATACTGAATATGGGGGAAAGAATTCACATATCTAGGCAATGAAAGATATTTAGCCGATTCAACTGGCTGGATTTATATGTTGGTGTGATGTGATATTGTATGATAAATCATTCCCTGAGCAGCTGTTAACAACACTAAATAGATGAGTTAATTAGGAGAACTGGAACCTGTGATGTTTATGAATCATTAAAGTAAATACGAATATGGTATGACTTGAAAAATAAATACATTCTGGTTGTGTGTGTGTGTGGTAATACTTCTCCCAGCTATGTATTTTTGGGGGGGTCCATGAAAGAAAACAGGATTTCTAGAGCTCTGGCTCATTTGTTTTCTCTTGCCCAAGTCTACACATAATTACTTGATCAACAGGGATAGCTTTGTGTAGGTTCGTAAACATATCTTGTCGGATGCTAAGGATGAAGAGCATAAGAACAACGTGAGTTATATTCATCTCATCTCTCACAACGGATGAGAAGCTACTGTATATTTCATACCTCTATGCAAGTGTGATATCTCACACAGCAGTTATAGATATGGGAGAATGAGCGTATAATAGCCAATGGCAGGTTCTATGTAATTTCGGGGGAAAAGAGTATATTTTATATAGAGAAACTGCCAGAAAGTAATGTTTTAGTATCTAGAGGAATAAGAAGGATAGATAGATGATGTACCTCTGGATCCAAGATGAGAATAACTTTTTTTGCAGGATGGAGAGGGGATATGCTATATGTTTGATAATTATATCTATGTACTGTGCCCAAAATACATCTCTATGGCAATCGGTCAAGGTTACACCATTTTTTACACTGTTACAATTTTAAAAATGCAGGCATCTCCATTTAAAAAACAGAGAAAAGGTCAAATGGAGAAATGTAGTAAGGATCTTGTGTGATAGCCAGGGATCTGGGTTTTCCGTTTCTCATAGGAAAACGGAGAAAAATGCAGATTTCCCCCTTTACCCAATAAAAAAGTGGATATCTCATTTTAACGGAGAAACACATGGATTTTGCACTTTTTCAAAGAGCTCTCTGCAAGCTGGCAGAGTTCCAGCCTGTAAGGGGCCAGGGAGGAGCTGGAGGAGGGTGGTTGGCAGGGGCACCTGGCCACCAGGCAGCCTAGAGAGCAGCTTCCACAGGTAAGTGTAGGAGGGAGAGGGGGACTGAGGTCCTTATTGGGGGGGAGGGAGTTGGACAGGACTGGGGCTGCTGCCCAGCCGGGTGGTGTGTGGGAAATATGTGGCCTTAGGGCCCCGGCAGGGAGTGGGACAGCGTGTGGGCGGCTTGTCTGGAAGTGCAGAGGGGTTGGGCCAGCTCCCTGCAGCTGCACGCCCTCCCAAGAGGGGCAGAGGGGACCTATGCCCCCCAGATCTGTGTATGGGTGTGGGCTGCTTGCTGCAGTCTGAGGCTCCCTGCCCTGCTGCCCTCCCCTGAGCCTCTGCAGCCCAGTGGTGGGGATTTGGCATGGCAGAACAGAACCAGATAGGGAAGCTCTTTGTCACTGCAAGCCCCACATCACCCTGGCGGTGCACCCCCTGCCCACCTGACAACAACGGGGGCAGTGGCATGGGGTTGTGCCCCTCGATGCTCTGGGGTGGGCAGGGGGCTTTCCTGCCTGGCCCTGCTCTGCCCTGCTCTGTCCTGCCACACCAGATCCTGCCCTCTGGGCTGCGCTGGCCCCAAGGAAGAGCAGCAGGGCAGGAAGCCCAAGCCTGCAGCCAGCAGCCTGCACCCACCCTGCACACAGATCTGGGAGGCACGGGTCCC